TGTGGGGTCTTAGGCTCAAGTGGAAAGATGGGATGAGGGCAATCGTTGGGTCTGGGCCAGGGGAGGATATCTCAAGTGATAATGTCCTTGGGGAGCCCGGGGCAAGCTGCCTCCAGCTAGGATGGCTCTGGGAAAGTGTAACAGGTCACTCCTTTGAGGCTGTGCCTGTGGCTTGCTCTGCATGAGGAAGACCTTCAGAGGTAATAGCTGGGGCTGAGGAAGGCACTCTTTCCCCTCCTGCTCCCCTCGCACTTCCTGAGAGCAGATATGTCTCTACCTGTCTGGATCCACCATCCTGAGGACCCAGCAGTTCTCTCCCTCGGACCTTTCTGTGAGGGACCATCCCACTCCCCACCTGGAGCCCCTCCTTTGATCACAGCTCAGCCCTCAGCTCCCATCTCAGCCCTTCCGGCCATCAGGGCTGCTAGAAAAGAGGCACAGAGTCATCACAGGGGCTGCGACAGCTTCCACTGTAGCTCAGAACGAAAGAAATGCCATCGTATGCCAAATGCCCTGCTGTCCCTTCTGTTCTTGCACATGAACCCAGGGCTGGTCTGGTTCCCCAGGCATCACTGCCTCTGAGCCCCCAGTTCCCCCTCGGACCTCCAAGGCCTCTCTGAGTTTCTGTAGCCTCCCGTGCTTTCTCTTTTCTCACGACCCTCTCAGTAGTTCTCAACCCTGGATGTGCATCAGGGAAACTTTATAAAATGCAGGTTCCAGGGCCCCATTCCTAGAGATACTAATTTCCAAGTGTTGCAGTTGGACCTGGGCAACTGTATTTATTTTCAGTGAAAACTAGAGACTTATGGTTAATAACACATATGAGCATGAGACTGTGCTGAGAAATAAGGATGCCACATTTTCATAGTAAAGTCATCTGTCACATTATTGTATCCATCTATTATTTAATTATAACTGTGGTCTACAAGAAGCCCTGGCTAAGAGCAGCGGCATAATATAGATGATACACGATTTATCACTATTCTTGCTACTCTTCTCCCAACGTTCTTAAATATAGAAGTATTCAGTACAATGTCATGTATGTCCATTCCATGATGACAGTTGTCAATGTGTCTATTTGACATGCATATTAAAACTGGAATAATAAATAATGACCTGGAAATATACTCCTATTAACAAGCCAAAATGCATTCAGAGCTAAAACCTGTGTATAACACAAGTGTGTAGACAGCCAGGTGACACTGGGTACCCTGTCCATCTTTATTCACAAGAGTGCTGCCTGGTTATTTAGAAGAAGCTGTTTTCTTAAAGTCTTACTCAAAAATATGCATCCTAATTTGTCCAACAAATCCAAATTAGCTGGAAAAGGAGCAACAAGACGTGCACATTCTTTTCAGTCAAAGGTGTATCTGCCGGGCTGAATCAATGTCTACTTTTCTGCAGTTATCCACAATCTGCTACTGTTCATCTTTCCTTAGAGAGGCAGTTTAGGGGGGCTATCAGAGAGCCTCACTGTGACATCCCTTTACCGTGACTCTTGGGGGCCCTGAGGCTCTGAGACTCTCAGACCCTCGAAGTGTGCCCCATCACTGGCCACTGTTGGGTTTTGTGCTAAACCTCAAACCAAGATGGATGCTATTCACCCTCCAGAGGGAAGGCTGCAAGGGAAGGAACCCATGCTATGACATCACATCCATGCTATAGCTATTATACGTGTTTGAATGAATCATGGTCAAAGAAAGTACTTTTTTCATTTACGTTAAGTAAGTCTTGTTCAGGCATTGTGATGGAATATAAACAGGGATCATTTTCAATTCCTAAGATAAAAGAATTTTATGTAAACTACAGTAGATGCATTTTTTTTTTTCTGTAGGTATATTATATACCAATAAAAATCTTTAAAAAAACAAAAACAAAAACAGGTCTCCACATGGGATCCGAACCGGCGGGAGCGCTGCCACACTCCCAAGCGGCGCACTCTCCAGTGCACCAACGGGCCGGCCCAGAAAGTACTTTTTTCATTTACGTTAAGTAAGTCTTGTTCAGGCATTGTGATGGAATATAAACAGAGATCATTTTCAATTCCTAAGATAGAAGAATTTTATGTAAACTACAGTAGATGCATTTTTTTTCTGTAGGTATATTATATACCAATAAAAATCTTTAAAAAAACAAAAACAAAAACAAATTCCCTGAGGATAGAGAGAAAACCTCTTTAGCCATGTTGTCTTTTGTTCTCTGTTCCCAGTGCTGTGTCTGTGGGCTTTCTGGTAGCAGCTTCTGAGGGTAAGGTTTCACATTTGCGTTAAGAGCTTTTGTGCTTAGCCTGGCCAGTTAGCTCGGTTGGTTAGAGTGCAGCTTTATAATGTCAAGGTCACAGGTTTGGATTCCTGTACTGGCCAGCCACCAAATTAATTAATTGCTCTTCAGCTTTTATATCTTGTGTTCTGTCACTGATGGTGAAAACCTCTTGGAGGGACTCTGAAGCTGTGCCTACCCCTTATCAAAGCCCGCTCTTTAATTAATCCTCACAAGGACTTCATGACCTCGGCCTCTCGACTTCATGACCTCTGCTTAGCTCTTTTCCCCTTTGCATTGCCAGTTTCCAATTTGAAGTTTGATTTTAGGCCCTGTAGATGCACAACAGAGCAGTGCTACTTCAGAATTTTCTATGGTGCCTCCAGGACATTGATGACCCTCAAGAATCTTCTGGAGGTATTGATTACATGGGCAGCTATTTCTACAATAATCTTACCAAACTGATCTTCATAGATTTTTTTATCGCTTGATATATAATTCATGTATCATTAAATTCACTCTTCCAAAATTTACATTTAAGCAGTATTTAGTATATTCACAAAGTTATATAACTATCATCACTAAGTCCAGAACATATTCATCACCCCAAAAAGAAACCCTGTACCCGTTAACAGTCACTCCCTGTTCTCCCTTTCCTCTGCCCCTGGCAACCACCAGTCTGTTTTCTGTCTCTATAGATTTGCCTATTCTGGACATTTGGTCTGCTTGGAATCATACCACATGTGGTCTTTCTTGTCTGGCTTTTTTCGCTCAACATGTTTTCAAGTTTCATCCATAATGTAGCATGAATCAGTACTTCATTCCTTTTTATGGCTGAATAATATTCCATTGTGTGGATATATGAGATCTTCATGGATTTTGATATAAGATTAGCCTATAGGTTCATTACCTGAGCTACAAACCATGAACACTGACATTCTCTTGCACAACTGCTACAAAACCCCAATCCAAGTCACATCACACAGACTTTCCCCCACATGAGTGCCAGCATTGAGGGGTTCACATGGCTTTGTCAACTTAACCCTACTGGTTTGAAGGAGCAGTACACTGGGGAAGACAGAAGTCCACTCTAGTTGACTGTGACAAAGATCTTGGCATCTTCTAAGCATGCATTTATAGGGAACTATCACAGGTGAACCCACTGCACAAGTGGGGTCAAATGCCATGCCCTTATAACCAAGAATTCCTTCCAGTTCCCTCTAGGTTCCTCCTCTCAATGTAGAAAGCTCTGCGTCCTCCTTTCCCCCCGTTTTCCCCTCCTCCTATCCTACTTTCTTCTCATTCAGCAAACATTTGGCACCTCCTAGGTGCTAGACACAGTTAGACACTGGGATCCAAAATTAAAGAAGCTTGATTTATGCCCTCCAGGGTGTTCACAGCTGGTCACGGAGACAGTTGAGTCTACAACAAAGTGGACATGCTGAGTGTTCAGTTCTGTAAGTGGGGGAGGGGACAGGGGATGACACAAAAGGAAGTGCTCACAGTCACACAGAGAGGTCAGGGAGAGCTCTGCAGAGGCAGTGACATTTGAGCTGAGTCCTAAGGAAGAACAAGTTCTGTGAGATGACATGACAGTTGGTGAAGAGGGTGTTCCAAGAGAGGGGACAGCAAGTACAAAGTATTGAGGCCAAAAAGAGTATAACATGCTCAGGGAAACACAAGGCACTCAGGCTCAGCTGTGGAAAGGGGTATCCATGGTCAGGGTGGAGGGTGCCAGAGCACAGTGAGTCTCAAAAGCCACAGGAAGGACTTTGGACTTGGCCTGAGGGCTGAGGGGAGTCACTGAAGGATTTTAATTAGGGCAATGACACAATTCTTAAAATGGGTTCAAACCCTAATCCCCACAGGCATTAGAAAGTCAACTTTATTTTTTTCTGTGACTCAGCAGAAATTTACAACTGGGGCTGAGATTCAGCAGAAATGTACAGCTTGGTTTCCAGGCTTTTGGTACAGTGCATTGGATCTGAGCGCCAACCCACTTTCCTTCTAATGGGCTTCCTAAACTAAAAAGGCTAAAAAGCTAAAAACTACAATTTCCAGACTCCCTTGCAGCTAGCATTCCAGACAGGACTGAGGCTCTACCTCTCAGAGGTGTGTGAGAGATTTGGAAGGTAGAAGTGAGGCAGAGGCCATGCTTCCACTGCTCCTATTCTTTCTGCTGTCAGAGGCAGCAAGAGGCATTAGTGGAGGTCCAAGTCCTAATGGATTCATGGGTATTGAGAGGCAAGATGGGTCCTTTTTTTTTTTTGGCCAGCACATACCTTGGTGACATGGAGTAGCTCTAGAGCCAACAGTTGTAGTGATAGCTTCTCAACTCTCATTCTTCTGATTGTGGCCAATGTTGTGTTCCTCAAGCTGGTCAGTGCCCATAGACCTGGCCTAGAGCTCTTCAACAATTTTTATAGCACCCCATTGCCTATATCCGAGCTCTTTCTGTTCAAAGAGGGTGGTTTCTGTTATCTGCAACTGAAACTTGACTGACACAATGCCATTGTTAGGCACCCAGGACTCATTCTGCAGCTCCTGTTCTGGTGTGGCCTCAACCAGCATTGTGTGAAGCTAAGGCCTTTCTGTGGGGTCTGGGGAAGAATATGGTGTTCTCAGTTTCCATGGAGGGGGGCATCTGTGCCTCCCACCATGATTCCTAAGTGGAGAAAGGGCGTTCTCCAAACACAGAAAGTGGTTCAGATGCTAGGTAGTCATAAAGGATGACAAAGGTCTCCAATAATTAATAAAAGTCCCTTTATTTTATATTGTACCCAAGGACTGCAATGCAGTAAGGGAGCAGACTTTTATCTGAGAGAGAGCCACTGAAAATGATAAAAGTGGCAAAAGTTCGGGATTTTGTGGGAAGTGCATAGAGTTCCTCCAACCTCTGGAGTCTGGCAGCCCCCTTCTCTCCCACCTCATCTGAGATGCATAGTGGCCAGGAACTACTGTGCCAGGGCTGGAGCCTCTAGGACAAGCCCCAGGCAGGCAGGGGCCAAGCTCAGCACTGCCTCTGCAGAAAACGCAGGCCCACCTTCTTATTGGGAACCAGGACGATGCGGGCCACACTCTTCACCTCCCCCGTCTCAGGGGCCAGGACCACCTCATACTGCTGCATCAGCTGGGAGGTAATCAAAGAGCACACTGGGCAATTAGAGCCTGTGATCACCACCCACTGCCCTCCTCTGCCCACTCCTACCCTGCACCTCCCTTCCTTTCCTCCCCCAAGGTCTCCTTCACCCCTCCCTGGTCCACACACCCCTCTAGTCTCTCCTCACCTACCCTTGCCAGCAGCAGCTGCATCTCCAATTCTGCAATCCTGCGGCCCAGGCAGGCCCGGACCCCATAGCCAAAGGGCAGAGAGCCAAATGGGTGTTGGATTCTGGGGATATCAGGCTGGTTCTTCCTCAGCCAGCGCTGGGGCTGGAAGCTCTCAGGCTCAGAGAAGGTGCTGGGGTCCCGGGACACCACATAATGGCAGAACACAAACTGGGTCTACAGAGGAAGAATGGGCAGAGTGAATCTAGCAGCTCAGGGCTGCGGGGCACTCCCGGGCACTTGGGTTCTCTAGCCCCACTCACGTTCTTGGGGAAGAGGAAGCCATCCACTTCAATTTCCTTTTCCACAATGACCCGGGAGTTTGCAGGGACCACAGGATAGAGGCTACAGGGAAAAGAAAATCTAGGGTCTGCCTCTGGACCCGAGTAGGGACAGAGTGCCCACTCCTTCTTCCCTACCTCCCTGGTCCCCCAGCCCCTCTTCCCATTCACCCTTGTCCCTGGACCCAGCCCACCTGGCCCCCTTCTCATTCCCATCTCTGATTCCTTCCACACACATAGACCCGTGCTCCCAGCATCCTACCGCAGGGTCTCCTTCAGCACAGCTTTGAGCAGGGGCATGTGGGCAAAGTCCTTGTGCTGGGGCACTTGCCCAGCTGGCACCACATCCACCACTTCCTTATGCAAGGCTGCCTGGATCTCCGGGTTCTTTGAAAGATGGTACAGGGTCCACGTAAGTGTATTGGATGTCTAAGAGACAGAGCGGGAGATGAAGTGAGGGGGGATTTCTAGGCAAGAGGCCAGCTAGGTAGTGGGAGGGTGTATGAGTGGGTGCATGCAAACTGTGGGAGAAAATTATCTTGCCACAAGTATGACAGGAAAAGACATGAGGGCTCACGCTAAACATAAATCCACAGTGGTATGAGGACCAACAGGAGGAGGCTGTAACAAAGACAGACCCAGCATGACAAAAGAGCTGGAAATAGGTCCCATAGAGATGATGCTCGTGGACAAGCTTTCAACTTTCTGCTTAAATTGCAGCAAGAGAGAGTAGCACTTGATGTGAGATAAAACTTCCCAGCTGTCAGAGAGCGTGAGGAGGCTCCAGGAGGTGATGGAATCCCCCTTATAAAAGGACCACCCCCACCCACCTCAGCTGGGCTAAATGACCCCCCTGTTCTCCTTCTAATGCTGTATCCATGTATCAGAAAGAGAAGCATGTTCTTGGAGGGATGAAGGTCAGGTTCAGGTGGGGGATAATGGGAAACTAGTTCAGGATGGCAGCTGGGAGCCCCTCGTCTCCTCACTGGCCCCTTCACGTACCGTATCCACTCCGGCCAGGAGCAGCTCAGGCAGGCTGCCCATGGCCTCGTGAGGACTGAGCTGTCCACTGGCCAACAGGAAGTACAGGTAGCCAGACACCTGAACCCCATCCGGCCCCCTTTTCTGTAGTTGGGACTCCACCTCCTTGAGTTTCTGATCAATCAGCTTCTTCCCTGCAGGAGCAGTAAAAAACAAGAGAGGATGAAGTCAAAAGTCATGATCTCCAGGGACCAAGAGCCACTTCATCAGCTGGTGGCATGAGGGAGAATGTCCTGGGAGAGACCACTAATTCATAGACCTAGGGCCACCCCCAACTTCCTTCCCTGGCCTCAGTCTGGGACTCCTCACCAAAGGAGAAGATGTTGTCCCAGCTATCCAGGTATCGCTTCCAGAAGGGCAGCAGGGGACGGGTCCACTTGGGGAGAAAGGTGACATAGACTGAGTTCTGGAACATGAGCCCGACAGATCTAATGAAGCTCACGGTGTCCTCGGGAATGGATTGTTCCAGGCAGCCAATTCGTTTCTCGAACAGGATGTAGCTGATAGCTGGGTAGCGCACAGAGGCCATCACAGGAGGCAGGGCCAGGGCACATAGAATCCAGGGGGCCTGGAGGAAGGGGAGTACAACCTACCCCTGACCCATCCCCAGCCCAGCCCCTCTGCCAGCAATGTACCTTCCAAGGCAAAGTGGTAGAGGAGGTGAGCCATGTCCAGCACCTGGTCCCCTGAGGCACTCTCTGCCCGCAGCTGGGCCAGTCGAACCATAAAGCCATCAACCACCTCATTGAGAGCATCTGTATAGAGTGCAGCCTCAGCTGGCTTCAGCAACCGCTGATTCAGAGCCTGGCGCAGCTGGTACCAGCTCTGTCCATTCCTGCAGGACATGGAGGAGCAACACAAACCTAGCCTCTAAAGGGGGTTCAATTACATGACATCTTCCCACCCTGAGACCCCCACGGAGTTGAGGGAAATCTCAGACACCTTGAATTTAGCATTAAGAATTACCAAACTTTCAAATAACAGAATCTTAGAATCACAGAACTTCAGAATCTCACTACAGCAGAATGGAAGTGGGTATGGTGGGCATCTAGAGTCAGACTGCCTAGCCAATCACAGGTGTGATTACTAGCTGAGGGACCTCAGGCAGATGACTTAACTCCTGTGTGCCTCAGTTTCCCCATCTGTAAAATGGGGATAATAGGACTGCCTATCTTAGTAGGGCTATTCAGATCATTAAAATGCTTAGATCACTGCCTGGCACATGGTGAATGCTTAATGAATATTGACTATAATTATCTTAGAATTATACAACTCTGGAATCTTCCATATGTGAAATGAACGGGAGCTGAGGTAGTTCCTGTCCTTCTGTGAGGAGGATGAGGAAATAAAGGAGGTGCAGTTAGGGTTCCTGGGATGCTCAGGTTCTGGGCCTTCAAGCTCTGCTTGGCTCAGTGGGCCAAGGGGACAGAAGGCCCACCAAGCTGATTTCCCAGGACCTCTTATCATGTGATAGTCAGGCCCCCACCCTGGTTAGGCAGGGATGCTTACAAGGCTGGGAACATGCTTCCTACAGGGGGAGCTTAATGTTTGGGGGCTGCCCCACCCTCCACTGCCTCCCAACTCTGTTACCTTTCCTAAGCAAGCGAGGTATGAGTCAACTTTTTTAAAGCTAGTTGCGGAGCGATACTTACAAAATGATCCAAGTTTAAGAGGAAAAAGGGAAATCCTACATAGCCATATGTATGTTGCATGCTTTTAGATGAAGCAGGGAGGAATATGTGCCAAACTGTCAGTACTGGTTGCTTAGGAGGATGGGATGGGAGTAGGGAGAAGGAAGACAACATATTATTATTGGAATTTTTATAATAAGTGTGACTTTTGAATTTTAAAATGGGGGAGCACATAGGCTTGACAAAGAACAGGGAGTGCACCAAGGGCAAAGGTCCTAAATGCACTTATGTGGAACCTAAGTGCTGAAAACAGCAAATAGTTTCTGCTAGATTTAAGAACATTAAGGTCATTTCTTATCCAGCTTCACTCCCTTTCCTTTGTTTCTCAAGATGTTTTCCAGAGATTGCCCCAGAGCCAATTTCTTTTCATTCCTTTGATAAATGATTGATTAAGTTGTTTTTTCTCTTGTGTTTCCCTGTCTTTACAATAAAAGCTGAAGCAAATACTGACTCCAGGCTGTTCCTTGTTTCTCCCTTCTTGAGGGAGTTTTCTTGGTTCAGTCCCTTCAGGTTTCTCATTGCTCTTAATATTTGGGCTCTGAGCAATCTTTACGTCTCCATCAAACAGCGAGAAGTGAAATTAAAAACCAATAAAGTTTTAAAAAGAAAAAACATTGTTTATTTTTTAAAATTATTCATTTAAATAGACCTCAATCCCCCCTCGCCCCCCACCACCCACCCCCAGGAGCTTTCTTTATTATGTTGGGGGAAAGCTGCAAAAAGATAAATTAAAAGTGTTGCTAAAAAAGAAATGAAAACCAAAATAGAATTTTGAATAAAGGGCCTAGGAATTGTCGTTTTAATTCTGGAACTGTTCACCTGTGAAGGAACAGGGGAAAAGAAAGAAAAACATGCAATGGGAGAATGAATGCATGGGCAGCAAACGCAGGTGAAACGAACCTTCCAACCAGTTCATTTTCTTTCCAAAAGTGTCAAGACAATAGTTCTTGAGTTCTGAATCAGAGAGATCTATTTCGTCACTTGCTAGTGTGTCTCCTCTGACAGCCGATGTAAAACCTAACTAGGCCACAGTCTCTTCATCTGTAAAATGGGGGTAATAATACCACCCACTTCATGGGCTTGTTGTGAGGATAAAATGAAACAATAGATGTACAGAGACTAGCCTGATGCCTAGCATGTCATAAACACATGGTTAGTTATTATTCTTGTTGTGGTGGCTACTACTACCATCTCCAGGATCAACTTTGATTAAGAAGTTACCTTAAGAAAGTGTTGGGGGAAAAAAAAAAAAGTTACCTTAAGAAGTGACTAAAAGGGCCGGCCCGGTGGCGCACTGCTACAGTGCGCCGCTTGGGAAGTGCGGTGGCGCTCCCGCCGAGGGTTCGGATCCTACGTACAGACCGGTTCACGCTCACTGGCTGAGCGAGGTGTGGGAGCAACACCGAGGGTTGCGATCCCGCTGCCAGTCCCGGTC